ATATCCCAGTTTCCTCCTAAACTCACCCTCCCGAGTGCTTAATGTCACATCCTAGTATATCCTTAGGACATCATATCTAGGTCCCACCGACAGCATATGGGATGTTATCAGGATTTGAAATACTAGTTACAATATCCCTTTAACCTCTTAAATACATAATCTCAACTGCTTAATGTTACATCCCAGTATATCCCCAGAAAGTTTCTTTATATTCCAGTGAAAGTGTGTGAAGGTGTTGTGATAACCTGAAACTTGCTTATTTTTCACAGACAGTCTCAGGTCCTCCATCTGTGGTTACTATGGAAAAATAAGAAATGTTAAAGAATATTTATACAATTTATTTTTCTAATTTGAATTTCAATTTATTTAATAATTTGTAAATATATCTAAAACTGAGCAAAAGACTTGAAATGAATTATTAATACAAAATATTATAAAAGAAAATTTTGCTTTAAAATATTAAAAATCTTTCGATCATTTTTAACCATTCAATAGCCCAAAACTGAATTCTTCGATATATTCATAATTAAATTATTCTACAAATTCAGTTCTTTGTATTTAAAATTCAATAAGAAAATTAAGCATTTAATAACTTTTAAGTAGTGGACCACATGTGTGTAAATTTTGAAATTCTGAACTTAAGTCGGTTACGTTGATTGAATCATTATTCATGGCTACAATATGATTAAACAGTTCATGAGTTCGTCTTGCTATTTGCTGTAATATAGCGGAAGATTTCCTAATCATTTTTTTTATAGAAGATATATAGCTTTCAAATTTAAATGCACTGTAATTATCTAACGGCCCAAACATTTTTACATCTTCGCAAATATGCAGTAGGCCGTGAACATTATGAGAAATATACTGTTTTTCATAATAAAGCCCAAAATTTACTACGAAGAGTTTAAATTAAAAAAATAATAAGTGGGCTAATGTACAATAAAAATTGACGGTATTCTGTAGCTTTCCAGTGTTTCAATTCTTTTAGAGTTGGTTCCTTGGTTTTCTTGCAAATTCAATTGGTACATAAGGCTTTAAAAACTGGTCATTTAAAAAAAAAAATGTAGTTCAACATTTTTATGTGGTAATCGTGCTTGTAAGGTGCCTCCGCCAATCCTAATAGTAATCATTTTTTATACTACTCCTAAGCACACAAGGAGCATAAAGTCTAACGGAATATTTATTAGTCCTATATTTGGAATAATCCTTAAAATGGGATAATCCTTTTGGTAATCGTCATCAGTCAGTTCTTCTTGAGACATAAAAGTTCATATTTCGAATCACAGTTTGAAATGGAACTTAAAGAATATTTGCTAGCGCGAAAATTCGGCACAAGCTTTTTTCATAATTAAATGCTACTTCATCTTCTGACGAATACGATAATATACGTTGATTTATTCTGCTGTAAATCCGTCTTTTAGATATCTGAGATAATTTTCTTTTAGTTCTGATCATTTTTGTAGAATAAAGGAAAAATTTTGAAACTTACTTTTCACACTCTCTCAATGTAACGCTTGCAAGCGTCAGCAAGTCAGTTCGTAATTGAAAGAGAATTTGGAACGACGGCTATTAACGTTTAGCAGAATAGCTGAATTCTGGAAATCAGAAAGTAAGTACATGTACTTTCCACTTTGTGGGGGTTCTTCAAGGATATCACTATTACGGAGCAATTAAAACCGTTGGGGGCATTCTGCGTCCTCCTTTGTTTGAAGGGATGTTTTCCTTGTAGGGGATACAAAGAAGGGGAAGGTTTGACACATAAATCTGCCACGTTAACAAAAGAGAAATCTTCTTGGGGCATCGGCTACAGAAAAAGTGCTCAGAGGTGTTACATTCTGAGCGGAGCTCTTCTCAAAAGCAAAGAAAATTTGAGAAGCAGTTTTACGACAATGATAGTGATGGAAACACACATTTAAGATTTTCAACTTCAATTGTTATTTATAGTATAAAATAAAGTAATAAAACTGCTGTGTTTAAAGAACGCGTTTAATTTAAAAATTAAATCATTTTAATTTAAAGTTTGAACATCTATTTAATCCGTTATCTAATTTTGAGTTTTCATAACAACATTTAACTTTGTGTTATATAACTTGAAGAAACGTGTTTACTGCATTTTCTGGATGTTACAAATAAATTAATAAAGCAGTAATTATTGTTAAATTATGAGGAGTCCGGCATAACGGCATTATGAGCATTGCCGGCATAACGTATAAGACAGCAGAGCGCTGGATATATTTTTTTCGCGCTTTGTTTAGCAAAGACCGAATATTTGTATGGTTAAAGAGGTAGCAAAGTGAGGTTTGAGGAGAATAAGAACTTAATGTTAGTTCTTCTCATTCTTAAACCTCATTTTCCTATTTCAGAGAGGTAAAAAATAAGTTACTTCTTACCTCAGTCGCTTTGAAAGACAAATTCTCATTATTAAATAACTTACCAGAAAATGAACGAAGAAACTGCAATGAAATTTTTAGCCCAATAAAATTATTCTTCTGTTTATAAATTCAAATTAGAGCAAGTTAAACCTCGTACAGACTAGTTTTTAACTGCGTCTGTAAACTAAATTTCGTTTGAAAAAAAAAAAAAAAAAAAAAAAAAAATATTGTTACTTATTACTGCACAGCACTAAACATCATTCATTACTAATATAATAGTGTAACAAATCAAAAAGTATTTTTTCTTTTGCAGTTTCAAAATATAGTTATTTCTATGCTAAGAACTATCGATGAATTTAATAGAATACTTTTATGACTTGATATTTCTGATTAGTGCCTCAGAGACGGGTAAGTGATTAGTGACTGATTGTCGTACAGAAGGGCTCAAGTTCAAATGCCAGATAAGGCATGGATGTACATCATGCCCATTTGTTCATAGGATAAATGTCTTCGTGAAAGATTTTTCTGAGTTAACCTGTAACGTAAATAATATTTGTGTTCAAAGATATTAGAAAGGTATCTAAAATAATGTTTACAAAATATATTATGTAGCAATTAGAATTTAATCGTAAACACACTTTCAATATGAAACTCAAAACGGCTGAAAACACGTGCATATAATTTGTAAGAAACTACTCTGATCACTAGACACTGTGAAACAAAAACAAAAATTTGAAAATATTATTACTTAATACTTACAGCCAACATATACAAGACAAAAACCAGTGTAAGCATACAATTAAATTTTCATATGCAGAATAGGTAATCCATAGAGATTTCGATTCTTATAACATGACTTACATGTGGTACAAGGTTACTTTACTTTAATATTTTCAGATATGAGCTTCCATAAAAAGTAAGTACTGAAGATATTTGAGAAACAACATCCTCAGGAGATCTTTATATGTCCCGGTATATTACGACTTGAACAGGACATCCTTAAGATGTTGATTTACGAAGTCCTCAGGATATCTGAAAATCAACATCCTGAGGAGATCTTCATATATCCCGGGACATTGAGATTTGAATAGGATATCCTCAGGATGTTGACTTAAGAAGTCCTCAGGATATTTGAGAATCAACATCCTCAGGATATCCTAACTGCTTCCCGGGACATTTCGACTTAATAGGATATCCTGAGGATGTCTTGTACTATGGGGGAAGGGCATTAAATACGGGAATTCCGTTCACACTTGCGAGAACGGTGTGCAAGCCGTGGCCAATGAGAGAAGCTAAATTTGCGCATGCGTGGATGTGTCTACAACTTTCCCTCGCTGTTTTCCTGAGGCCCACCAGTGGCCGAGCGGTAAAGTCGCTGAACACTGGTATTTCGGTCCGAGGTTCGAATCCCGCGAACGGGCTGGCTGCATGGGTGTTTTCGTGGTTTTCCTCATGTGTAACGTGTATACGAGCCAGTTTCCCTTAGAAAGTCTTCCACGAAAGGCATCCCTCCCCTTTGGCAGATAGCCCTAGTGTGCTTTGCCGTAATTAAATACACCACACCACACCGCTGTTCTCCTGCTCGATTGATTTCCCGCGTTCGCTCTGCTTGTTTTGTGACAGCGAAATCTTCTGTAGAACGCCGCTTCGTTTTAGCTTCGCTCTGATTGGTCGACGCTTATCCCAAACTCGGCGTAAAGTTGAAAACTTTGAACCTTATGCCACGAGCCCTAAACCAGATTTTGTGACGTTGCACAGACTCGTTGCCTTGGCAACGGAGCTCGGCTTTAACCACTTATGCCCTTTACGCCCCCGTCTGAACGAAGCTTAAAAGAGCATTCTGTTGAACGAGTAATACTTCGTGGTGAGCTGAAAAAGCCATGACACTATATAAGGAAAACAAGCAGAGCGAGCGCGGGAAACCAATCGAGCTGAAAAACAGCGCGCGAAAGGTACATCCACGCATGCGCAAATTTAGCTTCTCTCATTGGCCACAGCTTAGACACACGTCTAGCAGGTGTGAACGGGACTCCAGTATTTTATGCTCTTATGACTATGCCTCTATGCTCTTTATGCCGCCGTCTGAACGCAGCTTTACATACACTTTACATATACTATTAAATACCCAGTTGCAAATATTACCTTCGCGATTTGATGCCACGCTTGTATAGCTGCCAGAGGTGGCTGTACTGTTAGCTACTAAGTGATTTGTAACACTTTTCGTACCATAAATTCTTAATAAAAATATCCTTTTGTTTTGAATTTGTAATCACTTGTTTATCTCCTCATACACTACATACATGTTAAGTAACGTGATAGCCGCTCGTCTACTTTTTTCTGTGACAGAGTCTATTAATTACAGTGGATTTTATTATTATTATATGATCGCTTTTAGTGAGCAGCATATACTGTACGAAATCAATATATTTTGAATGCTACTAATAACAACTCATTTTTAGAATTGAATCTAAAATCACGAATGCAGTGAGGAGGGTTTTTAAATTGAAGATAATATTTTTAAAGACTTCTAAGTCTATTCAAATATAACATAATTCTTTAAAGTATCAAACTATTTTAAATAATATTAAGTTCAATCAAAACGCATGACATGAATTATACTATACTCACGTCTTAGCTTCCACGGGCTGTCCTTTTTCGGCAAATTTTCTAAAGTTTTCTACTAATGTTTTCGAACAGTCTTTAAATATACTTATCATCTAAAAAATATTATAACTAATTTTAATAGGAATATTTAACTCTAATAGTTATGAGTTCAGAAATCATGTAAACATAAAATAAATCTCTACAGTGTTGCACGATGACGAATAACATTAAATCTACTTTCAAAGAAAACAGATAATCATATGACACACAACACAAAATTATTAACAGTGCCATGCAATAAATAACAGGCGCTACTTTGGTAGACAGGTTGCACGGATTTTGGCGATTTCTTTTTAGCGGACGATAAAACTTATGGTAAACCCATAAGCTGGACAAGCTATTTAGGGTAACCGATACTTTGTTGTCATTTTATTTAAAATATAATGCATTTTATTATGCATAAATTCCGTGTTTTAAATATTATTTATGGCTTATAAATATTAAAATCAATTTAATTTTCCATTTTTATTTGGAATAAAAATTTTATTGTTTATGATATTTTATATAATTTTAATGTTGTGGAGGATGTAATCAATGAGGTCACCTTGCTTTAAAAGTAATTGAATGTGATGAAAAATAAGAATGTTGTTGTTATTTATAAAAATTGCCATGCATAAAAAATCAAGGACAAACAATTATAATTGATTAAAAATTCGATAATAAAGATAATAGCATTTATGTTTATGAAACTTATGACAACAATTAAATATATATAAACCTTAGTTTTATGTTTGAAATTTTTCATGGTGTAGGCCTACTGGGGATCCCACCACGTTAAATAATGGAGACGTATCCCAATACACAGTACCTCATGTGTGATGTGGAAACAGTGCGTATGACAGATTCACTGAACGGCACTATATTTCCCGACTTTAAATTGAAAAAATTTACCTTAATTATCATTTCGAAATTAGACATTTCGTCCATATAAGAAGTCTAAGTTCACACTCAAATAGATAGTGTGCCCAGCAAAGCCGGGTGGGTATCAGCTATAAGTAGTAGTGCATTATAAAGAAAACACATATGAAGCTCATTATAATGTAAAAACTTAACGACATACATAAAATTACCTTTAAAAAGCATAAAACACACATCTAAGAAGCTAATATTGCGAAAAAAAGGTATTGATATAAGATATTTTATATAAAAAAGAATTATATGCTGACTCAAGAGTATAACAACATCCAAAAAAAAAAAAAAAAAAAAAAAAAAAAAAAAAAAAAAAAAAAACCATCCAAAACAACATTCAAAATAATAGGACTTTAAAGACTTAATTATCAGCACTGTATGTGACTTGAAATTTGGTTCCTCTACATGCTTAAACCTTATAACTCCAAAGCTGTTAAAAATTATATATTCTTAAACATTGGTATACGTGAAATAAATATTGTAGTTTAGTATGTTGGAATTATCTCCATGTTGATAATACACACAAAATTGAAAATAACTGTATTAATATTGAAGCATTATTTTGGAGGTACCAAAAAACCGAGATAGCTAACCGCCCAGACGGTATAGTGGTTAGGGAAGCCTGACCGCAATACCGAAGGGCCTGGGTTCGAATCCCGGAGAAAGCCATGGTTGTAACTGTCCGTCCCTTCATAGGAGGCGATGGTGGTCTACTATTAGGTGCCTCCATAAGAAAAAGACCACCACATCTGGCTTTGCATGGATTAATGGACTGTGTTACGCTTGTAACTGTTCACAATCTGCCATTGGGAAAAAAAAAAAAAAAAAAAAAAAAAAAAAAAAAAACGAGAGATCTAGTCTGTATCATGAACATTTTGTCATTTTCTTAGTCAAGCTATACTTTAAGTAATATACTATGTGTCGTTTATTTAAAGCATCTGAGAAGTGCAGCTTTTATTGCATTCTGTACATTAACTACAATTTCTCAGAGTCAATTCTGGATTACGTGTATTTTCTGTTTTCCTGGGTGTATCTGTCCCTTGATTAAGAGTGGACAAATGAGAGTTTAATGTATTTTAATTTAAGAATTAAAAATATATAATTGAGCAAGTTCCCGTTTCCAGGTTATTCCTCTTTCAGCAAAATCCCTTTCTTAAAATTCGAAGCTGTTTATATTTAATAAAAATAACATTTTAATGAATAATGTTGTGGTACACATTTTTTATAATTTACATGAAGTTATTGTATAGAATTTTTCAGAAAGAGTTCGATATATCATATTGGAAGAAAACACACCAATGTAAAATGTAAAAATTAGGCAAAACAAGTATCTTATCGCAGATTTTGGAAAAAAAAAAATACTATCGGTTTCTAGATTGATCACCTATACATTCCCCTCTTTCTTTCCAGACTCTAGAGCAAAAGGATATTCTACAAAGTGGAAGGAGTGATGATCGCATTTATACAGAAAGCAATTTTTTTTCTTTCCTTCCCCCCCCCTTACCTCACGAAGAAGATGAACCTGTGTCTAATCGCCCTCGAAGGTAATAGAGTTTCATTCGAAATCTATGCCAAATTATGTTAGCTGCTTTGCTTAATTTTAAAATTCGATATGTATATTGTTGCGGATTTTGTATTGGTTAGCTGTTTTTACTAAAATTATAATTAAAATTGTTTTATATCCCCGTGCAATGCAACATAAGATTTATTTTAAGAAAAAACTACGCCGGATAAGTAAAAATACAGGAGCACTCGCATTTAACATTTAATAAAAAGATGTTTCGTAATTCTAATCTTTTGCTTTCCAGAAATTGCTATAACTATCTCGTGTGGCGGAATTAAAAAGCTATAAAAGCCGGAGAGAAACATCTTAGTTCAGTTGTTGTTGCCTACTTAGCTTCTGTAATTTTGAGATCGGATTAGCTTTCTCTGCGCTTTGGATTGCGCTTTATCTAACGTTTTAGTAGTTTAAAATATAACTACTGTTTATATTGCGTAATACTGAGATATTGTAGAATATTTTTGAGGAATAATCCGGCGTTTTGTTATATTTCTTGTGATTAGAATAAATTTTATTAATTTTTTATCGGACTTCTGCATTCCAATCTATTACGAACCCGTACGCACGCAACAACATATATATATATATATATATATATATAATTAACTTGCAATGATTCATGGCATTCTCCATTATTTCACTTGGCATAATGATTAATGATTAGCACGCCCAGTTACTAGTAGGAAGACCTGCGGTTCGAATTCCGAAGAGGATGTAGTTGATTCTTTAAAGTTTATCGCTCTGAAAGTCCTAAGATTTTATAATGGGCCTTGAACTAAAATTTATTATTCGTTAACTCGTCATCGTTTGGATTTGGTTGACTGAATCTCGCTCCTCTCTCCGGTTGCATTTTAAAAGAAGAAGAATGCAAGGAATTATCACATTTCCGTACGTGTTCTCATAATAGTAATACAGAGTTTATGGGTATTCTTTGGTAACATATAACCTTGACACTACGTCGAAGACGAAGTAGCGAATTCTCGCTATGTCTTTAAGAATAAATACTGCAGAAGGAAGGTTTAAATAACCTTTTTATTTAACCTAAATTAAAAACAGATGTACGTACTTCGTGCTCACAAATTCACCACCACTTGTGGCTACTAAATTAACAGAAAATAAGAATCTAAAATGCACATTAACTTAAGAGATAATTAACGACTGGCTCCTTAGCTTAAACTAACGGTAAATCAACTGCACACAGCAAAGCCCAGCCGAGAAATATCAGTATAAACTGAAAAGGTGTCGAACACCGACTAGAGAGCTAATTTTAAACTCGCAGCACAAATATCGGAACTCAGTCCGCTATAACTCTTTTTGAACTCTTGACACACAGCTTAAATACTTCTTCTGACATATGTTTAAATTGGGATACTGCGTCATTATAAATTTACATTCCGACAGGAAACTGAAATCAGAAGGGACAGGAAAAACCATAAAAAAAAAAAAAAAAAAAAAAGGTTAGAATAATATAAATCCTTAGAGTACGTCTATCTGGCAACAGTTAGAAGTATTATTATGACAACAGGAAAATCCATAGTTTGAATGCGGGTCAGGCCATAGATAATTTTTAATATTTCTCACTTCCCAGATCCTAATAGTAACGCCTGTTAAAGTGCGTTACTATTAGGATCTGGATCTGTTAAAGTGCGTTACTATTAGGATAAAGAAACATACTGCAAGTTTAGTTTCGGTTTAACATTAAAATTCGTTTTAATATTTTTGCTGTCCTTATGTTTAGGATAAAAGAAACTGAATGCGTATAAATAAATTTATTTACTTTGGAGCTCTACGTAAATGTTTCTATAGCTGTATTATTCGACGAGTTTCGGTTATTTATTTAGTAGGTTAAAAACATTTTCTGAGAAATGTTTTGTTAACGCGTTAAACATTAAGCCTACTTTGCTTGTCCCTGGAGACTGACAAGTAAACGTATTAATAAATAAATATTATTTAACAAAATTGTGCTCATTTTCTTTTTCGGAAAAATAATGAAAATAATTTTAATATTCGTTTTTAATTTATTTTCATATAGGATAGTTTTCTCCGTTTTTTTAATTTTTGTTTTTTAACAATTCTAAATTCCTAAGTAATTTTTATGTGACTATATTCGTTCTATTTTAGCAATATATAATAAGTGCATTCAGATATAGGAGGTGAGGTATAAAAAAGATTAAAATACTTAATATATACTTGTAAGTACAGAAAGAAAAAATGATTTATTTAAAATATTATTTAAACCGTAAATTTTATCTCTTACCCTTTTTATCTTTCCGGTGGTGAAAGTAGGAGTTACAATGGTTCGAATTCTTTTCCAGTCTTCTCCATTTACAACGGATAACATTTTTTCTACTATTGGATTTCCGTTACCAAATTGCTATAATTCCAAAAAAAAAAAAAAAAAAAGGGTTTTTAATAATATATCAATTTTATGCAAGCTTAAATCACATAAATAAGTTCTTCATGGAATTTAGCATATAAGCTAAACAATATTTTTGTAAATTTCTAACAAATCATTACACAAATTCATATCTGAAATTTTGTAAAGGCACTTAAACGCTATACGTTTATGGTTATTGAGAAAGTTTTGGTTTGGTTTATTAGTTACGGCAAAGCACATTAGGGCTATCTGCCTAAGAGGAGGTATGCCTTCGTGGAGGACTTTCTAAGGTAAACTGGCTCGCATACACGTTACACATGGAGAAAACCACGAAAACGCCCATGCAGCCAGCCCGTTCGCGGGATTCGAACCTCGGACCGAACTACCAGTGTTCAGCGACTTTACCGCTCGGCCGCTGGTGGGCTGGTTATTGAGAAAGAGAAATATAGTTTACTTCCGCAGATGAGTCGACGAAAATTATGGCTACCAATAAATCGAAAAGTCCTTATTTAAATCTCGATCAAAGTAAAACCATTATAATATGAATTATAGTTTTTTTATAATTAGGAACATATTCTACAGGTGCATAAAATTGCTAAAAATTGTAACTATTAATAAATTTTAATATTTGATGGATAAAAGGTATGCCAATATGAATTTTAAAATTTGGCAGACTCAGTCTTAGAACCATATTAGTTTCGTTGGACCATATTAAGGAATTATTCGTATTATTCTTAGAACCATATTTAAGAAGATTTGCCAATTTCGCGGACTATGCCTCTTAAAATATTACACTGAAGTGCTACTAAAATAGGCATAGCAAGTCAGTGTGAGTCAGTGACGAGTATCAAGGCCTCTCTGGCCTTGATAACGGCTGTCATATGACAAGGCATAGATTCAAGTCTGCGGAAGCGTTCCACGAGATTGGCTTGCCATACGTCGGTCAGAGATGTCTATAATTCAGGAAGGGTCGCTAGTGCTGTGTGATGAGCTTTTCCACCTTTCTCTGAATAATCCCAAAGGAGCTCAATAGAATAAGTCAAGAATCTTAGGTGGCCATTTCTTGAGACAGAAGTTAGAAGAATGCTTATCCAACTGGGCAGTAGCCAACCTGTGGGAAGTTCCCCATCTTTCCATCTTTCTGTGTGAACAACGAGACCACATAAATGGATGGAGATGATTCTCTACTCTATGTACCGAAACGCATTGAAGGAGGGTAGTTATAAATACCAATGATCCCAAACACTACCAAGAAAAAACACCCCATACAGGTTACAGGTTACCGGAGGACGGGGACGCCTGGTGTTTAACATAAAGTAAACAGACGTATGTCCCGCGTCCTCCACTATCTAGAAACAACAACTCCCTGGAGCCCCAGGAGGCTGCACCGGGAGTTCATATGAATCTTAAATAAATTTGTTACATGGCCATACAGGGGCTATAACTGATGTGAGACATTGTGTGGGAACGTAGTACATATGTTATATATAAAAATTACAAATAGCAGTTACATAAAACACATTAATATACGCATTAAAATTAATTAAAAATATGGCATGGAACACATAAGGCACAAATTACACACACAAAAATAAATAAATAAATAAATAAATAAACACAAAGAGAGGGAAAAAAACATATTATCACATATAAACAAAGACCATTAAAAATTCAATATACAATAATGCGCTGTGCATAATGCAATACGGGAATGCGTTTAAGTGATATGTAACAAATTGATATGCATATAGTACGGGTTACTTATGTTAAAGGTTGTGCAGTATGCAAGTACATAGTTTATGCGAAATGCATAGTACAAAAGAGAAAATTAAATACATGCAGAGTACATGGTGTACATAATACAGATTGCAAGTATATAATGCAGATAATACAGATAAACAACATACATACAGAATACATAGTACTTTGTACGTAAGTGATAAGTGATAAGTGACGGTGGACGTGGGCACTGTCCCTTTGCCGTAAAGATTAATCAGTACAGCACCACGTCCACCCTTATCTATTTCTAATGTTCATAGAAGCCCATCTTGCTTGTGTCACTGCGGTATTCGCAGGACTTGTACTGTACATATGCTTTTGCATACATATTCTAAGATATTGTCCCTTTGACTGTTCAGTACATCCGATGCGACATTTACATTTAAATACACGTATTTAAAGCAGCTTAGGTTGTGCAGCCAGCACTTATGGGGAATGGGCATTGGGTAGCGTTACACTTGCAATTCAGGTCTAGACAGAGCCTGAATTGCAAGTGTAACGCTACCCAATGCCCATTCCCATAACTGGCTGCAGTGTACTTTCTTTGTTCTGACACGTCATCCATATAATATTCACTGTTAAATTAGTGGAGATGTTCGCGCATACTTGCTGATGTGCATGAACTATTTTATATAATGGTTTTTAAGTTTGTACGTAGGACAATACTGTTACATGATACGTGGGATTACTTAAAACTAATTAATATACTATACATGACACATATCTTATGGAGGTGCATAATGCGCACTACAAATAAACTACATACATAAAGGATACATAGTGCACTGTGAGTAGGACAATACTGGTACATAATACTTAGGATTATTTAATACTGATTAATATACCGTACACAGTACTGATTGTTACTGGAGATATTACGCTTAATTTGATATGCAGATAGTGATTGACATAGATTATGCACAGTACATAATGCAGATTGTTAAACATAATACAGATCTTACATAATACATGATACAAATCGCAGATACATTATAGTCACCTACACCACCATCATAGTCACCTACACCCGATACCATGATTGAGACGCCATACGTCGCGACTCATCACTCCGTGCTACTACTCATTACTAGTCCTCTAGAGTCCATTCTTTGCATTCTCTTGCCCAGGCAAGAGGTGCAAACCGATGGCATACATTGAGCAACGGTACTCTTGTAGGTCTATGGCTCCTGAAGCCCATACGGTGAACCGAGAGTTGCCCGGTCTGTTTACGTACTGTACGACTGGTAAACTGATTCAGCTGGGTGGTAATTTGAGCTAATGTTTGGCTTCACAGGTTACGTATAATACGGCTGATCCGTCTTACACCACTCTCATTCAGGACTAATTGTCCTTTTCAGTTCGTCTCTAGTTTTTTCCCCACCGTCTATGTATTCTCGTTATACTCTTGATACTGTCGATATTGAAAATCCTAACTCTCTGACGATACTGGAAATTGAATGGCCCATGCTTCGTGCGCCTCTATTTGTTCGCGACCGAAGGCGTCTAAACCAGAAGTTTTACCTACACTGGTAATTGAAAAGACTGATTAGCAACAACCACAATACTAGCTATATATGCAGTTATCACAGCTCTTTCACGAGAGCATATATGCAGCGCAGAACTACACAATTTGCATAACCATGTATATCTCTAATTCAGTGGCACTTCAATGCTAGTTTTGACTGTGGTTAAATTTTGCGAAATTTTAAAACAGTAAATATCGAACTCATAAACATAATATTTATAATACCTCTCTGAATGCCAACAATGAACTTAATTTCTCAACTTTTAAAGGAACCATTTTGTGGTATTCATTTCCAAAATGTTTCAGATATTCTTCAGGCTGCTGCACTCAGACCATCAGGAAAACGGACGTTGATACAGGTATACTACGACTTCTACTTTTATGGTAACGAATTGTACATAAAGTTATTGATTACACTAAGGTTATAAATAAATAATTGCCCATATTAAAGTTCCAGCTTTCATATACAGTCATGTAAAATCTCAGAATTGATAATATCATATACACCACTTTATTTTATATATACCAGTAATTAGAAGAGATATATAAGATATCCCTTGTAATTTATTTGTAATTTGACCAAAAGGAAACACATCCATAAAACTTTTACTGTTTTCAATGTAATCAATAACTTCCAAGCAATCTGTTATCAGTAAAGTAAAAGTCGTAGTAAACCTGTAGCAACGCCTGCTTTGCTGATGGTTTGAATACAGCAGCCTGAAGAATATCTGAAACATTTCGGAAATGAATGCCGCAAAGTGGTTCCTTTATATAAGAAATCAAATTATTTTTAAAGGAGCTTATTCGAGCACTATGGTAAATGGTAGAACGCATCACAGTCATTCGAGCGAACAAACTAGCCACAGATTGCGCTGCATGCGCCAGAAAATTATCCTGTAAAGTTATGACATAATTCTGCAGGACTAGTCACCCCTTTTTTAAAAATTAAGATCTAAAAATAAACAATAATACGGTGCACTGATGGTGTCTCCTTTAAGTATGGTATACGTTAAGTTAGTACCATCGAAATCGCACATCAGAATTTGGTCTAATCTTCAGACTTCCAGGGATATTTATGAACTTTTGATTTTTATGGCGATCTGTAATTGTGTTACTTGTTAGAGTGGCATTTAAACTTTAACTTGTAAGATCAAGCCTAATGTTATGGAATAAGAAAGCTCCTCCTTCGAGTTAAATAAGGGGGTTGATCAGCATCATTTCATAGCTTTTTTTTTTTTTTTTTTTTTGAATGTCCAACACCTTCGCTATGACAGTTTCTAAATATCATGGCTACATGATTTTAGACTGCGAATTCACACAAGACGAATATTTTTCTCGTCACCGATACACGGACAATATATTTATTGTAAAGTAAGTTACGAATTGAATGAACATCTGCTATAACTGAAAAACGGTCATTCCGTTCGCCATTAATAAAGTTTAAATCCATATGTAATCTCACGATTCATGCTTTGCAGTTTTTTTATATTTTACAATTTTGAATGAAGATGTTTAGGATTTTTATGTATTTTTGCCTTGTCGTAAAGTTAGAACTGAATTAATTGAATGAGAAATATGTCTTTAATTGAATTCAAAGAAATAAGTCTAAAAGAAATGCAACAAAAACTGTGAATAATTTAATTGGCCGTACAAAGAGTCATATGTGGTGTCCACATCAGAATTGTTATGTTTGGAATTTTTTTTAGGTTTACAAAACTTATGAATTACGATCTGTAGATCTGAGCATTCTAATCACCAATATAATTTTCTAGGTTCCAATATTAGTGCGTATACTCAAAACACTTAAAAATTGTGGATTTCGGTAAAATGGCTGAGGAAAGAATCGCAACTAATACACGTGACACTACAGATATGAGTATTTAATGGAATTTATGTGGCATCGAGTTTGCAAAGAAGACTCTTTTGTCGCTATTTTAAATGCCACCAGAAAGTTTTGAATGTCAGAATGACTGGCGCAAGTTTTATGTATTTATCAGATAATTTCACAGCTTGCGTATGCAATTATTTTTAAATTTTATATGCCATATCGGTAGATTATGCAAATAAATAAAAGTGATCTGAGATTTTCTTCTAACTAAATTAATAACCGTTTGTTCCTTCAAAATTCCGTCAGAATGAAAACGTTTGGCGAGACTTGCACCAGCTTTTACTTCAGCGAGAACCAACTTTCTCGGTTGATGGGAAAACATGTAAGCATCAACAAAATTAGCTCTACATTTACGCTTAATTCAATTATGTATCTTTACTTAAAACTGCTTAACATTACACAACCCTTACCAGACACTTTTATACAATATGCCATTTTATATACTTGCAATGAGCAAGGAAGACATGGCTCTCCTCAAATATGAAATTTTGGTACTTACGTGTTAACGCAAACACCTTGGCGAAATTTGAAGATTTTTTGCAGATGGAAAAGAATGATGGCATAAATCATCATTCAATTCATTTTCAGAAATTCACTTATTACATATGTATTTTATATTCTAATTAGATATTTATCCCAAAATTGAGTAGATAAATCTATTTAGAAGATGATTTTTATTTATTTCGTTTCTATAGAAATTTAGTGTCAAGGGCTTTAACAACAGATTCAAAAGAACGCTTCTTTTCGAAGATCTTGCTGAAAATTACTGTAAGTCTGCAAATATTTTACTTCCGTTCCTTTCACTGCTGGAAAATTCCACATACGCAAATTTTAAAATCGAGATTAAAGCAAAGAATATCACGGTTTATTTATAAAAAATATTGCAACTTGGAATACCACAAAAAGAATGCATCCGAAAATGGCGCACTGGTAGTTCGGTTCGAGGTTCGAATACCGCAAACGGGCTGGCTGCATGGGTGTTTTCGTGGTTTTCCCCATGTGTAACGTGTATACGAGCCAGTTTCCCTTAGAAAGTCCTCCACGAAGGCATCCCTTCCTTAAGGCAGATAGCCCTCGAGTGCTTTTCCGTAATCTAATAAACCAAACCAAACCGAAAATCGCGACGTTGTTTGTTTGTAGGACTTATGAGTATTTTGCTTGAAGAATGTTATGCGCTTGTTGCTATATTTTGACACATTTCGAAAATTTGGCAACTCTGCTAAAGTGGTTACGCTAATGCACAAGTACCAAAATGCTTGCATGTTAATCCTTTAGTGACAAACTGCAGTGCGGAACAATTTACTTTCTGTGGATATCATGCATTTATTTTCCATTCTTTAAGTATAACTTTTAAGAGGTTGTTTATATTTTTTCTATTTTTGTAATAGAACTAACAACTTATTTTCTTTTCCCCAATTAATACCATTTCAATGTAGAAAATAAAGTTTATCATGCTTATGATAAAAATTTGTTACACCAAGATAACACTCACCCGCCGTCCAGTAAAGAACTGGAAATCTTTCACAAAAATATCTCGTAGAAGAGTTGGATCCGCTATTGAAATCAGTGGACGGTTGCCTTCAAAATGGCTTCAAAATGTTGTAAAGAATTTTTATTAAACCATCATTTCACACAAAATAGCAATATTTATCACTGCACTTGAAAACTTACAATAAACTATAACTAATACAAATTTCAACCAAATACAGAAAAAGTTACACGAAATGATATTGAACTGTACAAGCACCTTTGCCAGAAAAAAACAAAAAGGTCATTGCTTTGAAACTGTTTCTGAATTTAATTTCCATTGTCAAGTAGATCTTACTCATTTCTAGTCTCGGCCAGATAGAAAATTTAAATTTATTATGTTGTATCAAGATCATCTCATTATTTTTTTACATATTTTGAATAACAGTTTTTAATTGCAATCTGTCATTAAGTTTTCAAAATAACATTTGTATTTTTAATGAATGAACGTCTTTCAAATAATAAAATAATAACGTTATCATAAATTTTTTTCATATTTTGCCTAAAGAGCATTTGTCATTCTATAGAATGCCTAGGTATTATATACAATGCCTAGGGAAAGTGTGAAATAATTCTCATATTTCATCCTTTGCCTAAAAGTGTCCGGCAATGCATAGGCATTCTATAGAATGCCGGCGTTTCACACTTTGCCGGTAACATATATAATCAAAGAATAAAAACCTTTAAATTTATATTATTTAATTATAATGGCAAATGAAACCTTTACGTTACAATAAAATACAAATAAACATACTACGAGTATATATATATTTAACAATTGTGGTAAATAGTGAGTAATAATACATATATTAAGGAAATAATATAGTTAGTTCGGTACAAAGCAAAGAAGACATCTGAGTTACAGCGCCAGCAGTGACAAGATACGTTTAAATATATATATATACATTCTGTCTTTGTGACATTTTAGATATTACAAGGTTTTAAAAAAATGGTGAATGTTGTGAAATTTAGTCAGTTTACATTTAACTGAAGCACGTGATTAAACTTACTACTTTACGAACTTTAGTGGTTAAGGTGTAAAATAAATTATTAAAATACGCCAAGAACATAAAATTCAATAGAGCACTTTAACAATGTTATTTAACTATAACACTACTCGTATTGTTAACAAGTATAAACAACCTAATCCTAAACGAAGCAACAAAATATATCTTTATATATATACTAGAAAGCCCGGCGGTCATACGAAATGACCGCTGTTCTAGATATTATAAATTGCAATTAAAATTATTTGTGCAAAGGTGTCTGCTAATTTAAACTGAATTACCTAGGGCAGGCGGCGAGAACGCCCCTTTGCTTACTGCCACACGGGATTTTCCCTTTCTACTTGTTTAATTGCTTAAAGTAAAGTGCAATGAAGGAAACCACTGGGGTAAAATTTCTTAGAGCCACCGCTAGCTCAATCAATGAAAGGTGATTTAAATAAGGAAATGTTAATTCACATGTCAAAGATTTCTTTCTACACAACATTTCTTGCGTAGAACTTTCCATCCATTTTTCAGCTCGCCTTGCAGAGGACCATCCATTATTTTAATTTTTACCACGTCCGTTCTTTCACGAACTCTTAAACAGGCAACATATAAAGTTGACCGTGTCCAAATCCAGGCTCAGATAAAAAAATGCCAACACGCTTAAGCGTTTGACCCTGAGACTTAATGATGGTCATAGCAAAGGCAAGTTTTACAGGAAATTGTCTACGTCTCAATTGAAATGGCAACCCTGTGCCGTGGCAACTTCACCCCATCGGCTAGTACAGTTACGCATAAACTATCGGCCACACACACTTTAGCCGTTTATATATATAAAGAAGCGACTTAAGTGTTTGCCGCTGATAGTTTATTGTTGCCACTCGGAAAAATGAGCACGAAAATTAACGTTTCCGCAGTTTTTAATTAATATCTCAAACGATTGAAGTCGTACGAAAATGAGAACGGTATCGATGGATTCGAAGAATTTTTTGGAAACCGAGGATACACGTCTCGAATTTCAACTCGGCACCGTTCCGTAGGTATTCGAGAAAAAAGAATGTGGCACGTAGCGAAATCCCTCTAATGGGGAAAACTCAAGAAAGAAAGTCAAAAATGTAGGGAAAACGGAAAACGTAGGGAACACGAATTAATCCCACGACGCGAATGGTCAAAATAGCGTGCCACGGACCCGCGGAATCAAACGGTGTGCTTCGCTAAGCCCGGGAGCCAGCCTTTTCGGAGAATGATGTTTACTTCACCCCATAGTATATGCGGCTTACTGTCTGTTTCGCCGATAGTTTTATTGGTTGCTTGTGTAACTGTACTAGCCAATGGGGTGAAGTTCCACGGCACGGGGTTGCCGTTTCAATTGAGACGTAGACAACTTCCTGTAAAACTTGCCGGGCTATGACCACAATAAGTCTCAGGGCCGAACGCTTAGCGTGTCGGCATTTTTTTACCGAGCCTGGATCGGGCACTCAACTTTATGTTGCCTGTTCAGAGTTCGTGAAAGAACGAACGTAAAATTAAAATAATGGGTGGTTCCGCTGCAAGGCGAGCTTAAAAATGATGGAAAACTCTCACAAGAAATGTTGTGTACAAGAGATCTTTGACATGTGATTAACATTTTATTATTTAAATCACCTTTATTTTCTGAGCTAGCGGTGGCTTTTAAGAAATGTACTGCCAGTGGTTTCCTTCATTGCACTCTACTTTAAGAAATTAAGCAAGTAGAAGGGGGAAACCCCGTGGGGCAGGAAACAAAGGGGCGTCTTCGCCGCCTGCCCTGGGTAATTTAGTTTGAATTAGCAGACACCTTTGTGCAAATCATTTTAATTACAATTTATAATATCTAAAACAGCAGGCTTTCTAGTATAATTATAATCATATAAAACACTGCTGTCAAATAGACAACCTAGATACCGAACACATGTCAAATTTAAGATGAGTGTTTATTCTTGAGACTGTATACCAAACTATCATGCCACTATTTCAAAAAAATGTTAGGTTAAATGTCAGAGAGGTATTATGTTCGCTTTGTAGCACTGTAAGATTAATTAATGAGGATTAATGTGAAGAATGTGAAAGCTTTTTTTTTCCAAAGCTAAAAAACGAGTTGTATCAAATACTGATTGTTTATTAAGTACCAGTTTCTTCAGAATTTCACAGAAACGAATTGCCCCGACTTTGGCAGGATATCCGACCATCGTTCATTTTTCGACTTTTATAGTCGACAAGATAATATGTAAGTTCTTTTATTTTATTACTCAAGAAAAAAAAAAAAAAAAAAAAAGACGTAATGCATAATGCACTTAACATATAACGGCTTAGATTGCCTTTTCTGTTATAAAAATTTATGAGATGATCAATAGAAAAAATCGAAGGTTTCAAATTTAATTACGTCTAATGCCGTTTTTTTTTTTTTGTGGTTATTTAAGTTAATTTATTTATTATTTTTATAATATATTTCTTTGCACTTAAGCCATAAAATTCATTTAAGAGCAATGTCGCAAATATTTTAAAATAGCATACTTCAGATTTCGATGCACAGTCCTCGCGTTTCAGGTAAAAGGTTTTCCCACACCTAGAGTATTGCCATGGCTCGCTTTGAAATCCTTGAGTTTGTTAATCAAAAATTCGTTGAGATTTTTAAACAAAATTTCGTTAAACTTTTACAAAATATTAAATAGAGATTAAAACATATTCGAAACTCAAAATTCGGGCTTCCAGGTGCCCATATTCGGGTGAAGGACTATTCAAAATTTGATGGCTCGTACTGTTTTTTCACAATGCGAGAAACCTACATGCATTCATGCCTATTCTTAATTATTTAATTTCTTTAAATATAATACAGGGCAATAATATTTGGTGGGAAAAATTTGAAAAGTGATATAAAGCTTTCTGTGATTCAACGGAAAATGCCGTTTTGAGACTCATAGCCCTTCTGGCCTAACGCCCCTTTGGGCTAAAAAAATTTCGAAGAAGTTGTTTTCCTTTTCCTATCACATCAATTTTTGTTTAATTGACAGTTCTTGAAAATTTTCCATTTCCTATCAAATTCAAAATCCCTACTTAGAATATTTAATGTCTCTAACACTCTAATTCTAATTTCTTGCATTTGTTCTCTTGTCGTTGAGTGATTCTTTGCATTGTTATTATTCAAAAGCCTCGTTCTTATTATAATAAGAAAGAGGCTTTTGAGTATTAATTTATTATAATAAGAAAGAAGCCTGATCGAAAAGAACGCATTTACCTGTAAGACTGTAAAGGGATTAGGTCTTTGGGACGAAATTTACCTATCCTCAAGTGGAATTCGATTTTCAGCCTTTTTCAGCCTTTTGCGCTATATTTTAAGGTAACTGCATTTTTCAACATAATAATGATTAAAAAAAAAAGGCCTTAAAGGCTTATCTCCGCACGTTTCTTACTAATTCTGCAATACTAAAAGGGCAAGGTTTTTCTAATAATGCGTAAAGGTTCATGTTTTCTCAAAAACATTACTGTTAATCAAAATCTAAAAAATAAATCTTTTGAGATATGAATAGAAAGCCAGGGTTAAATCTGCGGAACATTTTTTCCAAAGAATAAATAAGCGCAGATGTGACTTATATGTATTTTATCTTTTACTTTTAATCAAAAAATTCCCATTGTCTTTTAAAATATCGTATCTTCTCTTATCTCACAACTAATTTCCAAAGATAAGAAAAAGTGCAACTTTGATAAGTAAAAAACAGGACAGCAAAAATAACAAAACCTTTTAATGTTGACATGCAGACAACTTTTTGTTTCAAGCTTTAAAAGACTATAAAACTCTATAGCAGGTCTTAGCAATCTATGAACACCGGGACATACAGCGACGTATTTCATAATTTCCATTTCATAATTTAATTCATTTCATAATACTTGAGTTTCGAAAATAAAGTGTACTACATGAAAAAAAATCTGGAAGGTTTCAGATTTTAAATTACGTCCAAAGGGACTTTTTTTAACGTTTTGTGTTTCCTACTATTATAGCAGTCTTGCACTGAAATTATAAATCAGTTCAAGCAATTTGCGAATATTTTAAAATGAGCCTATCTTAGAATTTTCCATACACAGTTCCGCGCTGAGATAAAAGTTTTTTTTTTTTTTTTTTTACCCTCTTGAGAGTTGACATGCTCGCTTGAATCGGTGAGTTGTTATCAAAAATTCGTTAAATTTACAAATCTGAACGATAGAAAATAAATACCATATTTCAATTTGGGCTTTTAGATGGCATATTCGCAGTAGGATTACGTCATTCAAAATTCGATGACTCTATGTACCGTTATTTTATCACAATGAAAAAATGCATACATTTCAGTTCTGCATTATTTAATCTTCAATTATAATACAGGGCGATAGTATTTGGTGGCAACGATTTAAAAAGTGATACAGCCTTGTAAAAGTTTTCAGCGCAAAATCGCAAAATGAAAACAATAGTCCTTCAGGGACAAAGCCCCTTTGGACTAAAAATACATTTAGGAACCTTAATATGAAACAATCATTTGAAGAATACATAAAAATAAACAGAATATAAATATTAACCAAAACATTTTTGTTTGATTACAAAGTTTCAGTGACGAACATGCATTTTTACTTTGAATTTTGCTCGTATCCGATTCAACAATAAATGCGAGCAAATATTTTCACACATGAAATTTATTTTATATAAGAACAGGTCCAGCTTAACTACCGAAAATTCAGATGATTATATGCGGTTTAAGACGACTAACTATAAGCCAGACTTGATTAAATTGCCGTCACAAATTCAGCATCGGGGAAGCCATTGATATCGAAGAGAAAAGTAAAGTTCATTCCGTTATTACTTGCTTTTACTATAATAAATAGAATTTTAATATTTATATTTAAAGCGTATTGTAATTATTTTCTCAAGCTATTTATTCTAAAATGAAAATAGAACTCACCCAAAACAGTCTTCTTAATGCACATAATTTTTTTTTTTTTTTTTTTTTTTTTTTTTTTTTTTTTTTAAGTTTCCGACTTGCATCCAAAAACGTTTCTCTGCGGCTGCTGTAAAGTGTCTTATACATGAAAAAAAGCTATTTCGAATCTTGTGATTTTTTAAAAACTTGCTCTTTTATGTATATTTTGTTAATAGAGATATAATTACATTGTGAAAAATATTGCATATTTGTCATGGCAAGTTGCGTTTAAAGCAAATAATTGCATTCTATGTTACTATAGTTGTTACCGATCTCACCTGTCTGGCAAAGGTCAGCGCAAGCCTGCGATATATCGTTGCAAGGAGTCATATGCTCCTGTCGTTGACAAAAGCCTTCAGCACAATAATAGGTGACAGCCCGACTAGATCAGTTCTGCTCCCCAATTTTGACCACAAGCACCACAAGAGACGGAAAGGAAGGTCTCCCATCCTCTTCCCCTACTATCAACCTCTCCAGTGGACTGTCCACTCGCCTCACATTTATAGTGCCTCCATGCCGCGCAGACATTACACATTTACAAGCACCCATGCCTTTTTTGGCATTAGCACCTGGGCCCTACGGTACGGCAGTCAGAATCACTAACCGCTATCCTGATTGGACGGCTTATATTACTACAAATTGTGCTTTGCATACTCTGTAGCGGCCAAAGATATATGTTATACTATCCGCTACGCTGCCAGCCTTCGTCTGGCTTTTAGATGTACCGGATAATTTCTTAAAGGGAACACCAAACATTAAATTTAAAAACTGCAGAATTTTACTCTGCAGAACAATTTTATCAAAACAAAAAAAAATGAATTACATATAAAAATTATAATGAAATAAGCAATATCCCTTACTACAAATATTAATTATCCTAATAAATAAATTAACCAACTTCCCGTTGCCTTCTCTCAACAAACGTCCAGCATCTAAGAGAAACATTAAATTTAAAAACTGCACCGAATTATCACCCTCATTTTTCCAAGTGGCAGCAGTGCTGATTTTCAACAGTCAGCACTCCAGTATAGAAAGCATTGACTGGAAAACTGTTGCCAAAATTACATTTCTAAAAATATGAAACTATTTAAAATGATGCGATTTCATCAAAAAAAGATAAAATTTAAAAAAAATCTTATTCGAATTTTGAAAAAAATCGCTTCGAGGTGCACTGGCTCTTGTCTAGATACACGTATGTATCAAAATTCATAGCCCTGAGTCTATTAGTTTACGCGCAGCACGAACGAAAGACACACAGACAGACGACTTTTTTTTTTTTTTTATTATATGTTGAGATTTCATAATGAAAGAAAGCTCGGTTACGCCTGTTGCTTCAAAAACGAGTTTCTAAATGCGTCTTGATTCAGCAGGTACAAAAAATTTCAAATAAATATTATCAATTTATTGAATTGAAATTTTTATGTCGAATAGAAATTAACATTTTTCATGTGTTTTACTTTTAAGAAGATAGCTAAGAATAGGTTCTCTCGATATATGTATGTATAATATATCTATATTCTCTCTGCTCGCATCATCTGTGCTCCGTTCTGAGCCATACAACCATATATGGATTTTTAAAAATTAGAAACGGTAATAAAATTAAACTTACCCGTAAATGGCACCGTACTTCTTGTATCTGTTCAATTCTGTGTCATGAAGAGGCTGAAAAGAGACAATAAATATCAAAGAATGTCAGAACTGAGACAAATTCAGGGAATAACCTTTTGATGGAGGCCAATAGAGTTGAAATGAAAGATTTAACAATCACTAAAAATTGGATCAAACTAGGTTTTTATACCATCCTGTTAATTTGCTTGTATTAGTATCATATGGGCGTGGCTGAGAATAAAACGTATATTTTATACTAGTCTATATTTTATACTATATATTTTATACTACTTAATTGAAATGCAAATCAAATTTATTGTATCAATATATAAAATTATTTAAATCTTTTGAATCTTGAGGTTAATGTTTTTCAGAATATTCGTAATTTGACAAAATATGATTCAATGGTATTTCAGTTTTTTACATTTTTAATATTATTTGTAAATTAAAGCAAACGTAGAGAAGAAATTATTTCAAGAGATTACCGACACTCTATATTTTCTCTAAAAACTGGGACAGTTCAAAAAGTTGATTATTTTAAGAATTTGGAAGAAGGAATAATTTGAAACTTTTGGGGATAGTTTGAACTTTACCTTTAGGGATAATTTGAAGTTACTCTTAGGGATAAATTTAGGGATAATGTGAACTTTACTCGAGTTCAGAAATAATTTGAAAAGCAGAACTTTTAGATGCTACTTTTATATTATATGAAAAATAACAAAGTCTGTAGGAACAGCCTGCTTTGTTTTTGCGACTTCATTTAACATTGCCGAAAACATTCATGTTTTTTGATGCAATTGCCATCACATGAATTCGATGAGGTAGGAATTTAGGGGACCACTGCGTTGCTGATGTTTATTTCGGCATTTTTTTGCGCATAGTTTTCTGTATCAGAATCAATAATACTGTATTTGTGGAATTTGCGATGTTCATATCCGGCAGTTTTTAATTCATCCGATTAAGCAACTGAAAATTTAGATGACAAACTTCTTGGACTGATGTTCATTCTTCTCACTTATTTGCAATAACACCACTGCACAACTATTCATGATGCGACATTAAAAAGATTACCATATTTGGCGACTAGTGCCTCGTCAATAGAAAAACAAAAATATCTTTTTTAATATCCAATGGCGGGCAGACAGACAGGGCTCTTGCCTCCAATGGCGGGCACTTGCATATTTTCAGCATTGGCCACGCTTAAGGCCAAAAGAGGTGGCCATTTTATTCAATTATTTTCAATGGCCACTTATTAAGGCGGCCAGTGAAAAATACCAATATAAAAGACAATCCATTTCTCGTGATAATATTTCAAGCAAAGAAATAAAAATAGAAATCTAAAACACTCTAATTTACAAAAATGGGGATATGAATGCTAGGTTAAATTACCACGGTAAAAACACTTGAGAGGGTACTTGCTTCGAGGGGATAATCCGTTGAGAAACATTATAAAGAAATATTAGCTCATATTTATGTTATACATACAAAGGTCAGTTTCTCTTCCCAACAACCGAACTAAAAGATGAATAAATAACCAGTGGATTGCAGCTTCAAGTAACCGGTGGACTGCGACAAATAAGAATAATCACGTTCAAATACAGCAGAAACAGAATACAGTTTCTCAGTCGCAGTATTTTCTGTATTAACTATGACTGATAATAATAATAATGAAATTTACAGAAATTTCAGGCCCATAGCGGTCGAGTGGTAACATCACTGAGCATAGGTAGTTCCGACCTGGGTTCGATTCCAGGTGAACGGATGGGCTACGTATGCATTTTCGTGGTTTTCTTCGTGTTTAACGTGTATAGAGCCACTTTTCCCTAAAAAGTTCTCCACGAAGGCATCCCTCCTGTTAAGCAGATAGCCCTTGTGTGCTTTGCCATAATCAGCTGAATCAAACCAATATAGAACATTCGAAATATTAACATTTTTATATATTTCAACATACCTGTGATATGTTTTCTAAAACCGAGCCCAATAGAAAGAAAGGTTTTACATGTGGTACACCTTTATTCTTCCAGTAGGATTGCCTGCTAGTTGAGTACCTACAAGACAGAAGTAAGCAAAGTCAGTTTAAGGTGTGAGTAGATAGTATTTTTAATGTATCGATTTTGTGAGGATATTATCTGTTTCAGGACAACACATGTCAAATGGTCTTCTACAGGAAGATATAGTGTTGCCAACGTTGCCTATCTGCCACAGTTAAATTAAATGTGTTGTTTTTATTTCTCATAACAATATTCTTGTTTTTAAAAGCAATTATTGTCATCAAAAAGATATTAAAATTTTATATTTACATTTCTTTTATATTTATTGAAATAACTAACGAAAGAGAGAGATTATTTTAAATTTCGAAAATTTTTATAATAGTCGAAATGGTCTCAAAGTAGGTGTTCTGGCCGAAGTGCCAAGTTGGTGTGTATATCTTTTCAAAGAAAACTGCTTGACGCGTGCTGTCCTTCGAGAAAAATTTCTCATCCTCATGTGACATGTCTAAAATATGCCAAATAACATGAAAAACTTAAAATAATAGTAATAATATATAGAAAACATAAAATGATAACAATAAATGAGCAGCTTATGAAAAGCTGGAATGTACATGATATGACAATAAAGCATTGTGAATCAGTTCATAAAAAAAAATTTTTATCTAAATAATCGAAAACGTTTTACATTCTTTTGAAGTAATGCTCGTCGTTTGCCATGCACTTTTGATAAGACAGCACATAAGATATTTTCTTCCTCCTTTTCACATGCCTTCGTGATATAATTGGAAGCATATTCAAAGCGTATTTGACAGGTCCAGGGTTCGAGTCCCGGCGAGGGCATTGCACATTTTTCATGTCTCCTGTTTCAAAAGAATTCTAATGGCGTTACAGTTTCTGAAATCTTCTTTTGAGATCGCATGAACTCGTCATGTACTTTTAATGTCCGGAATATCCAAAAGCCGTTCTGATGTTAAGGCTCGTTCCAAGTTTCGAGAACAGAAAGATGTCTACTGAAGCAAGATCAGCTAGTACTGCTGCTACAACTCGAGAGCATAGCTCTTCCACAGTACATAAAGTCTTTCACGACGAAGACCAAATGTGACCAGGCGTTATCATGGAGAAAGAACAAACAGCCTGCCTCGGCTTTTTCTGCACGTACACAACGGATCTTTTACAATAAACTTGCCAGAATATCCTTGTAAGTGTTAACTTTCATTGCTGCTCTTTCTAGCTAACATCTCATTCACTTTTCCAATGTTTTCCTACTACGAGAATCTGCAGACCTATCACATCGAGCAGGGTTTTCAATGGATCCTCGTCCGGTTTGAACACATTTAAACCTCTAGATGCGCTTGAAAAATACAGCTGTGTCACCGTAATCTTGTTTTATCGTGTCCTGGCGTTCTTTTGCGCATTTACCAAGCTTGAAACAGAACTTTAAATTAGCTCGCTGCTCCATTTTACAGCCACTGCTACACCTTTTAATATTGGAGTGTTACTAACAAAAATCCATAAAGCTAACTAATATTTCACCCTCAAACATGATCAAATACGTAAGGGATATGTCATGTGGTTTTCCACATTTCGTCGTTTCTCCACTATCATGCGTACGCATCATGGACTTTGTAGAAAGTTTTTTTATGGACCGCGGGACGCATCTTACGATGTCGTTCGCCGAAATTTATTGCCATAGCTTATATGTAGGAAGAAGTTATATCTTCGATAACTGAGAAGACAGGAAAGGCATTGGAAAGTTCATAAATGATTGTAGAGATGATGAGGTATTAGGGCTGGCAAGCAATCAAGAGTTTGAGATGATGGAAGGTACAGAAAATAAGTATTAGTATCATCCTGTTAAAATTTATCTTAATGGCCTTTTAACCTATTAGTGAAACCCATTAACAACAGCAGCGTTGTCCAATAAAAATATGTGGAAAATGAAAATTTAAATAGATATTATATTACTTTATCCCTTATTTCATTCTTATATCGGAAATCCTATTTCATTTATTCTTTTTGAAAGTATCGTTAATTTCTTACTAAAGCAAAGTGAGGGTGGCATTAGGATGATTTATATGTTCTTTAATTTTCAACACAATATTTTGCACGACGACGCGATATTTTCGTTTGTGACGTTTTTGAAGGACACCTCGATGTCGATGACTGACATCTATCATTTCCTACTGCTTATGATGAATGATCTGAAATGCAACAGCAAGCTTTATAACTCGGATTTATTTTCTAAGAAAGATTTCGTTGTGCGTATTCGAAAGCCTTACACTTAAATTCGAAAGAATATTACGCTTAAATTTAAAGTTGTTTAGTTTTGTTTAAAATAGTTTAATTAAAGTTGGCTTATTGTATAGATGTTTATTCTTATTTCTAGGCTTTGAAAATCCCGCCCGATAATGCATTAAATCTGTAATGCTAAGTGAAGCATCTTTTTTTTTAGAACTTAGAAGCATAATTGAAGATAAAACAAAGGGGCTTTTAAAGGACTTAATTCAATTGATTTGGATTTTGATCGCGCTCTGAGAAATAAAAAATATTTTAAAACGATAAAACTTAAAGGGCATGTGCAGCAAATATTAAGATGAAAATAACAGGCATACTCAAAATTCATTCTAGAGACATTAGGTTATTTTTTAAGCAAGAGTGATGAAAAATGAGCAACGCCCTCGCCGGGAATCGAACCACGGACCTATAGACTACGCACCCAGCGTGCAAACCAATACACTACTGTGGCATGGTAAGAAAAAGGGAGGAATACCTTATATACTCCCCCTTTTAAAGGGTGACTGGGGTTTTTAGGGGACCCAATCGCTAAATCCTGGGTGTGGAGAATTATCATCCACTACTCTTTTAATTCAAGCGCCACTGTAGAGACATTAGGTTTTTTTTGGGGGGGGAAGCAGGAGAAATGAAAAATGAGCAACGCCTTCGCCGAGAATCGAACCACGGACCTCTGGAATACGCGTCCAGCGTGCAGACCACTACACTACGAAGACATGCTAAGAAAGAGGGAGCAATAACTTATAACATACTACAAGAAAACTAGTTAATTAATAGTTTATGATATTAAAGAAACGCTTTCTTTTGCCATGATTATTTTCTTAATTATGAAATTACTAAGTTCAGTTTGTTATTAGTATCTATTTTAAGACATGAAGAACTTCGCTGGAATCAAGACTTGAATTAACCTGGTATCCTGTTCCGATACTTCTCAATTTTTTGAGTGAAATCCTAATTCTAGCCAGAGTGCACTTGCGTTTCAAATTAGACAAATTCCGTCGTACACCTGAACTGCGATATTAATGGAGAATACTGTTAAGATAAAATATTAGTGCTATATTGTATTTAGGAGTTAGTAAAACTGGTATCATACTAGAAACAGAACAAACGACTGCATTTCCATGCGAAGACCAAAATGTGTGGAAAAGGCTTCAGCAGTTGAGAAAGAAAATCCGCTTTGTAAAAATGTTAACATAAAAAGAAATTTTTATGGGCTATATTTTATGGGCTCAGTTTAAGTGGTTTTAATTTTATGGGCTATATTCAGCTGGTGTTTAAGTGGATGAGAAGCCAAAATAAAAATGCACATTTATCTCAGTGCGAAGAAAAATATTTTTTTATCTTACTGAGATATCAATACGTTATTTTTTCCCTCTAAACAAAAAATAAACAAAAAAAAAATTGTTTCATCATCTTATGGATTGTATAGCGGTTAATGGAGGCTGACTAGTAGCCAGAATGGCAAGATAAGGGTTTGAATCCCCTTGTAAGGATTATTTCTGTGTTCTTACGACTTCTCGCGAGCGTAATATCAAACCATCCGTAGTGGTGTACTCTGTATAATATTCTCGATGATAAGACGACTGTGTAACTGATTGGTTCGACTATTCTTAACAAATACGCGATAAGTATACGTTCGGTCAAAAAAATAATCTGATATTACTTCCTTGTACGACCTATTAAAGTATACACATTTTTTTCCTGCATTTAATTTAAATTGATTTCCTAAAATTTCATTAGAGATATATTTCTAATTCAATTAATTCAGTTCTCATTTCGCGGCAAGGCAAAAATACATAAAAACTCAAAACATCTTCATTAAAAGTGTTGTAAATATTTTAAGTTTTACTAAAGTTTGTTTCATTTTAAAACTTTACTATCCTCTTTTATTTTCCATTTACGGCCAGAATAAACGCGAACAGGTTTGGTTATGCAAATTGAGCTTGCAAACTGTTAAGTATTTAAGTTGTGGCTTTTAGCCAAGAGAGTTAGAGAGAGAGACTTCTCGCTACCTTACCTCGGGCGCGCTTTTCACCCGGTTCTAGTCTGCCTTTGAGGCCAGAACTTAGTTCTCTTTGATACTTGAAGACGTATTGTACTTTAACGCATTGTGCTCACTACATACGTAAAGTTTAAAAAGGCCAATCTTCGCGTTACTATTCTTTGCAAAGTATCTAAGTCTAGTTTTTATTTAATTTAGTTTTAGTTCTTATTTTTACGTTTCAGACCATAAGTACTGGTCCCGAAGCGCGGGAACGACTGCAAACTGTGAGAAATAAAGGGTAATTAAACCCTTTCCATTTGTGTCGTATCTTCTACACTTGCACGAACATAGTTTGAAGTAAACTCCCTGTTCCTACTGAGGACTCCAGTTACGTTAGCAAAGGCATTTAGAAGAAATAGTAGTTCTGATAGTGTAAAGTACAAAAAAACATAAAACAGACCCCCCCAAAAAAATTTAAAATTAAAATTAGAGTTTCTACGCAAAAACAGGGAATTCGGCCAGCGGCAAGAAGGCAGATTTTTCGGTGCACAAAATTAAAAATTTACTTTTGGTACCACTCTGCAAAAAGACACTGAAAGCGAAAAAACTGATTTTTCACTATTCTACTAAAAGTTTCAGATGTAAACAAATGGCTACTTCGTTAAGCTTAGTAGTACTTAAAACAACTTTTAAATTGTTGGCGAATATGGGCACCTGGAAGCCCAAATTTGGAAATTCGAATTTATTTTACTGTCAGTTTCTTACTTCGTTAAAACAAACTCAACAGTTTCAGAGCGAGCACTGGCAACACTGTAGGGAATAAAAACATTTTTATCTCCAGCGCGCGAGACTGTCAATCTGAAATTTTAACGATATGCTGCTTTTAAATATGTTCAGCACAATGTGACGTTAGCTCAAATGCTCTCGAAACGTGTATGCGTCTGTAAATGAAAAAAAAAAAAAAAAAAAAAGACCTTTTTGGGGGCGTAGTATAGAATCTGAAGGCTTTCAGATTTGTCTTTTTACTGATTATACTTGGAAATAAATTATTGTGTGATATGCATCAATCAGGAAAAATTGAATTATGACTCTATGATACAAACCGTTTGCAAATGTTATCTGAAAAAATTTTCGTATCAGCATTTTAGATTAAAATCTGATGAACTTTTAATTTCTTTTGTATACATTTCATTTTTTACATGCAGTGCAATAATTAAGTATATATTAATACGCAAATATTATTGGCTACTTTCGAATACATGTAATTCTAACTTATAATCATCAATACATTTTTTTAAATTTGGTGTTCAGCAGTATACCCAGTTATCAAAACTCAGGTTACGCCCCCCGCTTTCAACGTTGACCGAGGCATTTTAAATTAGATTTCTTCTAAGCTAATACCTTAAAAGTAATAGAAAAGTATAAAAATTGCTTTTTACTTCCTTTTTATCGTGCGCTTACATGTATTACCTAATTACTCCATTCATTCAACGATAAACAAGAAATTTTATCATTTCATTTCAAATATAATATATTGGTTTACGTACCTGTATATTAAAAATATGACAGCAACTCCGATCAGGAAACTGGCCATAAGAGGCCCAAACATAAATTCCGTAGCTTCCATATTAGTTACGTTATCACGACAACAATACATTTAAGTAAATTCAAACTGCAGTCAGGGGTTTATATACTAACGGACGGATTGCACAACATTACGCTGCGGATGGCAGTCGGCTCATCGGTCTCATTGCGAGGAATGACGAAAGCGATAAGGAAAAATGAAAAACTCTTCAAGGTCAGTTTGCGCTAAACTGCAAAATCGCAAAATATTTGTGTATTTAATAATATAATCACTGAACTCCCCCCACAGTTTATTTAGCATGACAGAAAGGGCAGTAATTACGTATTCTTTTAATTAAATAAGTCATCATTGGCGTTATATTGGAACATAATAAATTTTCGAAATCTGTTTCTGATTCTGAATAGCGGAGTATAATAACTCAACAGCAGTTTGGATTTTACTGAAACATTAACGAATTTTTTTTAATTCTTTAACTAAACTTTCTTGGGTAATAAGAATATTATACTCCACAAAAGAACTGAAATATAGGAAGGCCAGCACGGGGTTTGTATCCCCAACTGAAAAAGTATTGAACTCAAATTTAGACATAATAATCACGCATCAATTTCCTACAAGACAACTATGATACTGTAGTTAAGTTCTTCAGATTATTGTTTTAATACCGTAAATGGCTGTTAAGAATTTGTGCGAATAAATAAATTACCCTTAAGTGTGAGATACAGGCAAAGAAGGTCGACCGTAATCGCTTAGTTTATCGCAGTTGCACTTTTGTATGCTTTCTAAAACATGTGTAATGAGATCCGAATCACGCAAACGTGCTGGCTGCTTGGGTATTTTCATAATTTTCTCCATGTGTAACGTGTATACGAGAAAATTTCCCTAAGAACGTCTCCACAAAAGCATTTCCCCAGATAGCCCTCGAGTGCGTTGCCTTAATCAAATAAACCAAACCAAGCCGAAACATTATTTTTTTTTTCCAAAATTGTTGCCACCAAACATTATCGACCTGTATTATATTTCAGGAAATTAAATAACGAAGAATCTGCATGAATGTATAAATGTTTCTCGTATCTCAAAAAAAAAAAAAAACAAGAGTACCTAGAGCCATCAAATTTTGAATAACATAGTCCTCCCCCTGAACATGGAACATGGGCACCTGGAACAACGAATTTTGAACTTCGGATTTGTTTTATTATTTATTTCCCATTTTTCAAAACTTTAACGAATTTTTTATTTAAAACTCAACGATTTAAAGAGAATAGTGGTAACACTGTACCGGGGAAAAAAAAATTATCCACAGCGCGCGAGACTGTCTATAGGAAATTCTAAAGATATGCTGTTTTTAAATATTTTGCGATTTTGCTGTTGAATCGAATTTTTTATCGCATGAGCGCAAGGAGCGTTCATAATAAAAAGACAAAAATTTTTGCAAGGCCATGTAAAAGCATGGAGCGCCTTTGATAAATTTATTAACATAATGATTTATGGTTTTGACAAAGCAACTCGATTATTTGATTTCATTATTTAAAAGCCCGCACTTTTACTATTTATGATATAAAACTGTAGATGAAATTTGTTCACAAAATTATTTTATCTCTTATTCCCATTAATCAATAGGCCAAGTTATTTTCTTGTTTTAGTTCATTAATAATGTTATGAGTTTTAAATAAAAACTTATTTCGAAACTTTTCTTAATTTTATTTATTTATTTTTCTCGTTTTAGTCTCAATGACACATTTTCAATGAAATTATTCAATCGAAAAATTCTTTTTTTCAAAATGCTATTTTATTTTCAACAATTCTGTTACGTCAAATAATCGTAAAAACATCTGATGATATTGCCAAAACTCAGAATTACGTTAAAAATCTAATCTCTTATAAATTTCATTTAAAAGATTTTTATACTATTGGAAACAGTAAAATACCACTGTTAAAATACAGTGCATCTGCTAAAATAGTAAAAGGTTTTTTTCACAGTTAAAACAGTAAAAAACAGAAATATGTTTGCTGTTAGAAACAAAGTGTTGAATTCGGAAATTTTAGTTTAAGGACTTTTTTTAACGTTTTCTATGTTACCCGTATTTACTAAATGTTATGTTAATTCAGAAGTCAAACAACAAAAATCAGCGTTATATTCACAAAATTTTCACAGGACTAGTTTCGATGGTTTTACCGAACCATTATCTTCAGCTGCAAAACCGCAAATGAACAAGATAGGAAATAATGATTAGATAAGATAAGGAAGCCTGGACAAGAATAAGCAAGTGGCGCCATCTGTTGGCGAAACCAGAACTAAAACATAATTTCTCTAAAAGCCGAAGGCAAATTTGGATTGGAATTAGGATCGTTAACTAGAACAGAAAGATTTTTATGAATGTGAAATGCCTCTAGAAAATCCAGTTCTCCAATGGAAGATGTTTTTTGCATAATTTTGGCAGCAGAAAAATTGAAAGTGTGATTTTCGGACCAACAATGTTGAGCAACAGAAGACTTCTGTGTTTCCTTTTTTCTAACATATGCCTCATGTTCTTTGACGCGAAATTTTAAGGCTCTCTTAGTTTGGCCAATGTAAATTAAACCACACTGGCAAGGAATCCTATAAATACCCCAGGAATTCATATCGGAATGGGGTCCTTGAGTATAGAAGTTGGAATTTTATTGATGGGAGAATAAAACAACTCGAAAGTTAAATTTCTGCAAAATATGTGCAACTTTATAGCTAATTGATGGAAAGAAGGGAATGACAACAGAATTTTTATAATCTCCTAAAATAAGAGTGTGGCTTTTAGTGTGTTGAGATGAGAATTTTTTAACTGCTTGATTAATAATGTTGGGTGAAAAGCCCCTGTCAATAGCTATTGCTTTTAAATAATTTAGTTCTTCATCAAGGGCTAGTTTAGGAGGAGCAAACTTGAAGAGCACGGAAAACATAGGAATAAAATGAAGCTAACTTTTGTTTAGTCGGATGACATGATTTAAAGTGTGGTGGTATGGCAAACCGATGAAGGTTTACGGTAAACTGTAGTACTGAAGTTGGATGTGTTACGTGTGACCAGAATGTCGAGAAACGGAAGAGAATTGCAAGTCTCAAGTTCAAAAGTGAACTGAATAGCAGGATCAATAGAATTCATTGTTGAAAGAACTCTATTTAAATCATCTTTATTACCTTCAAACAGGGTAAAAGTATCGTCTACGTAGCGGAACCATGCCGGGAAGTTTAAAGTTTCAAACAATTTTGATTCATAATAATGCATGTAGATATCAGCCAGGATGGGACTGAGGGGGCTTCCCATGGCTAATCCCTCAGTTTGCTTGTAATATTTATTTTGGAAAACAAAATGTGTTTGTTTCAAACAGAGTTGAGTGAGAGAAATTAGCTCAACAATTTCGATGCAAGAGAAATGAAATTCGCGAAGTCTGGTTTCTAGACATCTTAATGCACCCTCCACTGGGACATTGGTGAATAATGATTTTACATCAAAAGAAACCATGAGTAAATTACTAGGAGAAATGTTTTTAACCTTTTTTACAAACTCTATTGAATTTTTTATGGTGTAAATGTTATTGTCTAATAGAGTGGAAAATCTAGAAACTAAATATTTAGCTAATGGATACGAGGCAGTACCTAAATTTGATACAATAGGGCGGAAAGGAATACCACTTTTATGAATTTTGGGAAGAGCATATAATCTGGCACAATTCGCAACAGATGGGATAAGCGAATGTTTTAAGTTGCTTGAAATGATTTGCGAAGATTTGATCGCAGTTTTTATTTTGGATAAGTCCGAAGGTGAAGGATCTTTAGGGATCGGATTATATGATCTTTCGTTTAAGAGTTTAGTGACACCATCGATGTAAGTGTTCTTATCCATGACGACTATCTGGCCACCTTTGTCGGCCTTTGTCTTCACGAAGTCTGGTTTCTAGACATCTTAATGCACCCTCCACTGGGACATTGGTGAATAATAATGAATTAGTTTCTAGATTTTCCACTCTATTAGACAATAACATTTACACCATAAAAAATTCAATAGAGTTTGTAAAAAAAGGTTAAAAACATTTCTCCTAGTAATTTACTCATGGTTTCTTTTGATGTAAAATCATTATTCACCAATGTTCCAGTGGCGAGTGCATTACAATGTCTAGAAACCAGACTTCGCGAATTTCATTTCTCTTGCATCGAAATTGATGAGCTAATTTCTCTCACTCAACTCTGTTTGAAACAAACACATTTTGTTTTCCAAAATAAATATTACAAGTAAACTCAGGGATTAGCCATGGGAAGCCCCCTCAGTCCCATCCTGGCTGATATCTACATGCATTATTATGAATCAAAATTGTTTGAAACTTTAAACTTCCCGGCATGGTTCCGCTACGTAGACGATACTTTTACCCTGTTTGAAGGTAATAAAGATGATTTAAATAAAGTTCTTTCAACAATGAATTCTATTGATCCTGCTATTCAGTTCACTTTTGAACTTGAGACTTGCAATTCTCTTCCGTTTCTCGACATTCTGGTCACACGTAACACATCCAACTTCAGTACTACAGTTTACCGTAAACCTTCATCGGTTTGCCTTCCACCACACTTTAAATCATGTCATCCGACTTAAAAAAAAGTTAGCTTCATTTTATTCCTATGTTTTCCGTGCTCTTCAAGTTTGCTCCTCCAAACTAGCCCTTGACGAAGAACTAAATTATTTAAAAGCAATAGTTATTGACAGGGGCTTTTCACCCAACATTATTAATCAACCAGTTAAAAAATTCTCATCTCAACACACTAAAAGCCACACTCTTATTTTAGGAGATTATAAAAATTCTGTTGTCATTTCCTTCTTTCCATCAATTAGCTATAAAGTTGCACATATTTTGAAGAAATTTAACTTTCGGGTTGTTTATTCTCCCATCAATAAAATTCCAACTTCTATACTCAAGGACCCCATTCCGGATATGAATTCCTGTGGTATTTATAGGATTCCTTGCCAGTGTGGTTTAATTTATATTGGCCAAACTAAGAGAGCCTTAAAATTTCGCGTCAAAGAACATGAAGGATATGTTAGAAAAAAGGAAACACAGAAGTCTTCTGTTGCTCAACATTGTTGGTCCGAAAATCAC